ACACACACACACACACACACACACACACACACAAACACACACACAGACAGATCTTTCAGCCTTTTTCTCTCTCACACTCTACCTAACACGCGTAAGGCACACCCGCTTCGCTAGTGATGGAGCTTTCAGACTTTGCCGGACAGCTATTTGGCACGTCGACGGAGCCCAAGGACTGAAGAAGCAGTTTCGCTCCATTGTACTCGTTGTTACGATAATCGATCACCGTGCCATCGTTTTCTCCTTCGTGAAAGTTGTTGACATACTCATTCCCGCCAGAATGAAAGAAGCAGTTCTCAACCAGCAGTCTCGCGCCCTTGGACGCTCCGATCGCGTAATGACCCCATTTCGAGTACACGTTCGCGCAAACATGCACCGTCGCAAAGCGAACTCGCGGCTGTCTTGAACCGCAGTTGTCAAAGTGGTTAAATGCGACAGTAACGGTCATAGATTTATCCCCCGAATCTGAATCGGAATTGCCGGCGAGAATCGTCTTCAGAATGCCCATGAAGTGATTTCGCAAGATCGATACCCCACTCGAATGAGTGATGATATCTACCGCGCCGTCTCCAATTCCAGAAAAACTGCATCCTTCAATCACGATATTTGAAGACAAGCGGGCAGTGATTCCATCCAGTCTTGTGTTCTTGACACACAGATTTCTAAACACCACATTACTCACCCTATTGGCACTCAAACCCCATCCAGTAATCCTGACCTGATAACCGGAGCCGTCAACGGTTTTGTCGTTCGTGCATTCCACACGGGACTTGAGGGCAATAGTACAGTCCTCCTGAAACTTGATGATCTTGGCGCCGCTGAGCCCGCAAAAGTACCTCAGAGTATTGATACCAGAATCTTCATAGCTAGTGACGTAGACAACCTCACCGCCGGCTCCACCGCTCGTGCTCTGGCCATAGCCGAAGTAACCTCCGCCTCCGCCGCCGCCGCTGCTGCCGAACCTTTGCACGAGCAACAACGGTCCCGAAAGCGCATCCAGGCGCCGCCGAGTGACCGGCGCGGAGTTGCGCTGGAAGACTTGCTCCGTTCTCCGCTGGCGCAAGGCGGAATCGTGGCTTCCCTCCGCTGCATTAAGAGCGGCCGAGGTCATCTCTGCCTTCGGTTCTTCCCCCACGTTCATCTGTACCGCTGGCATCTCCTCCTGCTCCCGCTGCTGTCGCTCGATTCGAAGCTTGCGGTGTGCGCCAGAGCCCTCCTCTGCTTCCACTGTCGAGGCAGATGCCACGGAACTGACCGGGGATCCAACCAGCAGAAGAAAGCTCACAAAGAACAGCAGGATCATTGTGTCTGCACCGAACGCACTGTGCGACGCCGCCATCGCAAAAAAAATGATATAACCCACAATGCTAACGAAGAAAAGCTACCTGAATTCTGGAGGAATATGATAACGGAATGCTATGGTTTCGGTCGGAGGCTAACGGAATATTACTGTAATGGTCAAAAATATTGTCGGAAAAGACAAACTTCAACGTCGAAGCGATCGTTCTCAGCAAAATTTCAACGAAGTCGTTCCTTGCCCGCTCACCACGTCTAAATTCCAAAAGATTACTTACTAGTAAATAGTAATAATGTCTATAATAATCACCCTATTAATGGACGACAGAAGCATCTGAGCGTGAGCAATCAGAGCAAGCTAAGGTCTATATCTCGAATCGAACGGAGGCGAAGTACTATGATACAATACCTGGCAACGAGCAAAATTGATGTCGAAACGAACTCCTTCGTTCGGTTCTATTCCAAATGAGTAGGGAGGGACCTTTCACCCCACCACCTTATCTTCCCTCTACTGATCGAGTCGGATTTCAACTTGTGCTTGAGATATAGGATGCAAAATGAATGCCCGTAACGCGCTGCCCGCGCCACTAGTCCTATAGCTCAGGCAACGTAAACGATCAGTTAGTTTACTAAATAGTAATTACCTATTTTGGAAACCGGACGGAAACCGGATGGATCCAAGGAAAACGAAAGGGATAGGATTTTTTTTCTTCTTCAAAGATCTCTCTGTCCTCGCCGGCTTCAGAAACGGATGCTCGATCCGTTGATCTATCGATCAAAAAAAGGAGCGAGGACAAACAAACGACGGGGATTAATCAAGAAGAGACGAAGATCGAGAGGAAGAAAGAGACGGACAAGCTGGGAGAAGAAGAGAGAGGGGGGAGGGGGAGGGGAGATGAGCAAAAGCTCAGGACGGAAAGCAGAATGGAGCTTTCCTAAAATGAAAGGAATCGACGGTCCTGCAGAGTCGCACAAATGCGATATAGCATGGAGTTATACCACCACCCAACCCAGGTGGTGGTCGGTTGAGACGTACAGACGATTGTGAAATTCGCTCAACGAATCCGACTGTAATTACGGCAAGATGCAGTCAGACAAGTCACTCGTCAGAGCATGCAAGACCACAAATTGAACCCTGCCTTGCACTGAGAAAAGACAGAAGACAGAAAAGACCAAATGGAAATGAACGGCAATTGCTCGTATACGATTGTAAGGATCGACGATCGGCTAAGTCTGTTCCTCTGCTCGATTAGGAAAGGCACAAAGCTCAGACACACTATTGGGCAGCCGAGGAGTGGATTGCTGACGTCTACGGAATGAACGAACGAACGCAAACGCCCAAGGTCGCAAACCGCCGCGCAACGGGCGTATACGAGCGCAAACGGGCGCGAACTAGCGCAAACGAGCGCAAACCGGACGGCTGCTAAATGCAACCGTTACAGAAATGCCGGCGGGAGGAAAGCAGGAGCCACCGAGGCCACAACAACGATGGCAATAGCAATAGCGACAAGAGAGAGAGAGAGAGAGAGAGAGAGAGAGAGAGAGAGAGAGAGAGAGAGAGAGAGAGAGAGAGAGAGAGAGGATGAAAAAGATCTAAACAAGGAAGCAGAGGGGAAAAGACGATCGTAGACCAAGGGAGTGAGAGGAGAAGTTAGTGATGGAGAAGGAGGAAGGGAATGAGATGGAAGAGAGGGCTAAGAAAAACGAGGAGGAGGAGGAGAAGAAGGACAAGGACGACGAGGAGGAGGGGGAGAAGAAGGACAAGGACGACGAGGAGGAGGAGAAGGAGGAGGAGGAAGAGATGGGCGGTGAGGAGGATTTACTAATCGGCCAGCTAGCGACTATGCGACGACGCATTTCCTGTCAGCAGCAGCAATGGCTTCCACCTCCCTCCCGAAAGTCCTTCCACACTTTCCACACTTCGCTGCGGGCTCCTCAGCCGACGGGCTTCGATGAAAGCACTGATGACGATGCGATCGCCTCAGCTGAGCAGCATAGAAGGAACTGTCCCGGTAATCCTGACTCGTTTGCCGCTGCCGTAGAAGCTGAAGATAGATCACCTTAGCACAGAGAGAGAGAGAGAGAGAGAGAGAGAGAGAGAGAGAGAGAGAGAGATGGGCAGCTAGATATGGTGGGAAGGAAACCTCCTGGTCTTTTTGCGAGCGAATGGCTGGATGCAATTGGTGCAATTGGCCGGAGTGATGGACTCGGTAGCCGATGTACACCGCCTCTGTGTCTGTATTCTCCTCCTTTCCTCCCCTCTCTCTATATATATTTGCCGCTATATTCTCTCTCCGCCAATTGTCAAGACACCGAGGATCGGACGGGCCGGCGGGAAAGATGGTTACTCCCGCAAATATGCAGTTCTTCGCTCACCCCGCCTTCGCACTCTGAATTTTTTGGACCTGTCTCTCCTGCGCTAAGTAGTTTTTCGTTCACCCGGCCTCCGCACTGGCTTTCGGCATTGAGGCTTCGCGCACCACGCACCACATGGACGAAGGACAAAAAATATGGCCGTGCACCTGTCCTCTTCCCACCGGAAGATTCATTCTCATTTCATTTTGCACATTTGGTGAGTAGTGAAGCGCGGGCTGTGCATTGTCTTTTCTTTTCCTTCTTGTCCACTTCGCCTCGACATTCCCGAGACCCACCCCGCTCTGCTCTTTTTTTTTTTTTTTTTTTTTTTTTTTTTTTTTGGAAAGCATCAAACTTTCATATTGCAAAAATAATTGGGATGAGGCCGGGGACCTCACAATTCAACCCGGAGTGGTCCTGGCAGCCTTAGCCAGTTTGTGAGCTCTGCTCTTTTTTCCCACCCCCCAATTTTTTTTTATTTTTTTTTCTCCCCCCAAATTTTCTTAATTGCTAATGGTATCATCACCTGATCCGCCGCTTTCCGTCCGACAATCCACTCAAATCACTGCAGCAGCAATACATGGAATCCGAGCCAGATGGCACGCATCGAATGGCATAGTTGTTCTCCAAAACATGTGTTGGACGTATTTGACCGGGAATACGGCCAGATTCCATCGACAAAATACTAATAAAGTGATTTGAGCATGCAATACATGGATTCCGAGCCAGATGGCACGCATCGAATGGCATAGTTGTTCGCCAAAACATGTGTTGGACGTATTTGACCGGGAATACGGCCATATTCCATCGACAAAATACTTATCAGGCAGTGCGAAAACGCTCTATATTCGGCGCCAAATGCGAACTCTCTGCACTTATTTTACACAGTCACACTCTCTGCAACAATCTGCGTGTCCCTGACATTAAGGGCCTCCCTCCCCTACGGCAGTCTCCAGATGTGCAAAATGAGACTGAATCTTCCGCTAGAACGTGGAAGTATACACCGGCATATTTTTTGTCGTTTGTGCATGTGGAGAATCGTGGATCGTGGCCCCAACATGTGCCAGATCCCGCCGAAAATGCGCAGCGGAGGTCTGAGCATGCGCTTTGGAAACAATCTCGAAGAGGAAGATCAAGATTACTCATTTTTTATTAATGTATTCTTACAAATCAAGATCCTATGCTCTCATATACCCTAAGGGGCAAGGGGCAACATGAAATCTCCCCTTCACAGAGAGAGGAAATTATGCTTGCAGGGGTCCCCTCTAGAT